GTCAGTGCCATTCGGTTCGGCTTGGCAGGACCGGACTGAAGCAGTCGGTCCGGTTTGTTCCCTCGGCGGGAGAAAAATAAAAAATATAAAAATCAATAAAAAAATATAAAAAAATTTGAAAAATTTAAAAAAATTCGAAAATTCAATAAAAATTTCAGAAAATCTAAAATTTTCAGAAATTCAGAAAATTCAAAAAAAAATTGGAAAATTTCTGAAAATTTCATAAAAATCTAAAAAATTCAGAAAATCAAATAAAAATGTAAAAAATTCAAAAAAAATTACAAAATATTGAAAAATCTCAAAATCCCATAAAAATTTCAAAAATTTCTTAGAAAACCAAGAAAATCAGTTTTCGGGAAAAGAAATTCTCAGAAATTTTTCCGAAAAAAAATTAAAAAATTAAAAAATTCACAGAATGATTCAGAAACACTACGACCAACCTTTGGAAGTGAAATTAGAATTTTTTGAAGTGCTTAAATGGCATTTTTAGGAAATCCTTAGTTTAGGGATTAAAAGGGGTTTCAATCCCTAAAAAATCCTAAAACAATATAAATCATGAAATGAACAAGCCTTTAGGGCTTTACTAGGGTTTGGGTGTTTTGGATTGACTTCCTTTTTAGAGACAATTTAGGATTGCTTTGCTTGATTGCAATTGATTGGGGTGTTAATGATGATTGATTGATTTTTCACGATTAGAATGGTTAGAATTAGTGGATAGACCTCGGAAACTCGTGTGACATGTTAAACACATCGTATCATTTTAGGTACCGAAAGGGCATTAGAAATCTCAATTCGGGATTATTAGCGTAACCAAGTCCCCTTACTTAGATCTCTAGTTCGCAGAATCGTGGTATTTCTCCCGTACCTCGATTAGGTTTTTAGTCAATCTATCAATAATGACTAGTGGCGATTTCAAATCGAAAATTTAAGATTGAATAAAAAGATAAAATTACAACGCGCTGTCACATGAGGTATGGTTTGGGAGAGGCCCTCGTTTGTCTAGTGATGGGATGCCTATGGGACATTTGGGCAAAATATTCGTATCGGACCCTAGTAGTTCATTCGGGGATAGTTTCCCCATTCGTGACAGATGGAAGTACCTCCTTAGCGTGCCAAAAGTGCAGCGCGACACTTAGTACTAAGCAAAAATACAAGACTAAGCATGAGGAGGAGTGATTGAATAATTAAAATATTAAATCACACGTTCATCTAATAGGTTAAGCTTTTAGAATAGTTGACAGTGGTTCCACCAAATCTTATTGGGGGGACCCTTCGTGGGAGCGGATGCTATCATTGTATAATTTAGGAAGCACGGACACTCTCTGGGGACCTCCGTGTTGGTGTCGGACATGGACACGTGACTGAGACGTGGTCAATAGGTGTCAGACATCTGACACGTGATCAATGCTCCGGACACGCCAGCTACATGCGAGTCCAGCATCAACATCCTGACACGCTATTCCGACACACACGGGGTTAATTTTAAACATTTTCAATAAATTAGGGGTCAAAATGTGAATTCATTCTAGGCTCTTTTTTATTATTTATTTGAATTTGAATCAAATTAATTTGATTGAAATAATCATAAAGATGATAATTTATCATGTATATGTCGTGTCGTGTCGAATCGTGTCTCAATGTCGGTGCTACTTAGTGCGTATAATCACGGGGCGGCCGAACTTGACTTTCATACAAATGCAGAAAACGAAGAAAGGAAAGAGAAACAGCGATGGTGGACCGGAAGTGCATGATAAAATACTTGTTTCTTTGGCATGAGGGAGCTTCATGTGGGGCGGGCACATGCCTTTGTACCAAAAGTTTTCGGTTCGATTTGGCCCGGTTTGAGCCTAGCCAGATTTCTTTTGTAAAGATTCCCTTTTCTTAGAGATTTTTCGGCAAAAGAACACTACAAGTGCCATAACTTGTGTATGGCGCTCACTTTGGTGCCGTAAGTTTTTTTTCGATCACTTTAGTGCTAAAATTTTTGAAAAACGATCACTTAAGTGCTAAATTTTTTGAAAAACGATCACTTAAGTGCCAACTCCGGTGCCGTACACAATTTTTCGCCGGAAATCTGACGTGGCATTTTTTTTATTAATTTCTGAAGCTGACGTGGCTCGTTGGAGATTGGCACTTAGGTGATCGTTTTTCAAAAAATTTAGCACTTAAGTGATTGTTTTTCAAAAATTTTAGCACTGAAGTGATTCAAAAAATACTTTTGGCACTTAAGTGACCGTTTTTCCTCCGATTTGGCACTTAAGTGAGCCGGCGAAAACTTTTGGCACTAAAGTGAGCGCCGTACACAAGTTATGGCACTTATAGTGTCCTTTTGCCGAGATTTTTCTTATTTATTAATATCGGTAAAAAGAAAAAAAAATACCGGAGAGAGAGAGACTGTGTTTGAGGATTTTGAAGGTATTTTAGGGTTTTAAGATATATCATGAGTTGGACTACGCTTTTCGAACTTTCGAAGCTTAGCCCCGGAGACATGCCCTAGCCCAAATTTCCAATTGAATATCGCCATGAAGGATCGAACTAGTCCGTGGCTGGACGAAACAATTGAGCCAATTTTCCTGAGTTGGTTTCTTATATCTTATATATGAAATTCAATTTTCAATATTGCTATAGAGATGCACAACAAAAGTCCAATACAGTCTAGATCCGAGCCCATCAATTTTTTCAAAAAAATTACCCAATCGGTCATATATATATTGTACCCACCACGTCAACGATTTCCAATGAAAATTGACCAAACAAATCACATTGGAATTTTGCGCAAAGGTTTAGGATTCAATTGGTAAAATTGGAAAGTTTAATACTGCATTGACATTCATACAATAAGTTCAAGACTAATTAGACAATTTTCCCCAATTTATTTAAATGGGTCCACATTTACTAAAAAGCTTAAGTTAATAAGTTAGAGTCAAACTAGCCTATATTAACTTATCTGCATCACATCAAATCTCTTATGTGAGATTTTTTTTAACACAACTCTTACACGTGTAACTCAACAATCGTGAAACACTTAGGACATTCATTATTGTAATGAGAGTGAAATACAGTTTATATTGTAATTTTTAATATAGAAGTATTATTTATTGTCAAAATGTTGGGATAATCGAAAAATTATTACTGGTCATATAATCTCGAGGGCACGATAAACAATTGGGAAAAGTGTCAAAAAAGTCCTAAACATTTTGCATTGGTGCCAATTTAGTCCTAAACCTTTTTTGGTGCCAATTTAGTCCTAAACCTTTTTTTTGGTGCCAATTCAGTCCTAAACCTTTTTTTTGGTGCCAATTCAGTCCTAAACCTTTTGCTTTAGTGCCAATTAAGTCCTAAACCTTTTTTTGGTGCCAATTGAGTCCTAAACCGTTTGCATTGGTGCCAATTCAGTCCTAAACTTTTTGCATTGGTGCCAATTCAGTCCTAAATCTTTTTGAGCTAAATTAATCGGAAGGACTGAATTGGCACAAATACAAAAGGTTTAGGACTGAATTGGCACCAATGTATAAGAAAAAACGTCAAATGTAGGAATGATTTGTGCAAAAACAGGTCGACTCCTCAAATTTTGTCTTTTCTTGTCAAAGTTAAACAGTTATCCTGTCTAGCAAAGTCTGCTAGTGGGGAGGGATGCCATTGCAAATTCAACAATGTGGTCTATTGGAAATGGGCAAAGAGTAAATATTAGGGAAGATAAATGGTTGTAGACGGGAGTGATTGGAGGGCCAGAAAATGTTAATGAACCTAAGAAGGTAGCAGAATTGATAGATGTTGCAGAGGGCCAATGGAATGAGCAAAAGCTTGAAGAACTCTTCGATGAACAAACAAAGCAAGAAATTCTGTCCATTCCAATTCAACCACAGGAAACAAATGATGAATTATTCTGGAAGGGAACAAAATCTGGATGCTACACAGTAAAAAATGGGTATAATATAATCAGGCAAGAAATTGGCAGAACAACCCTCATCCTCTACTCAAACACCTAGAGCACTGTGGAACTCTATATGGAATCTAAAGGTATGCACAAAAGTGAAAATTTTTGTGTGGAGTACATGTCAGAACGCATTACCAACGAAGGAAAATTTGTGGAAAAGGACAATAGTACTTGATCCATTGTGCACTCTATGTCGAAGCGAAGTGGAAACAACATAACACACTTTGTTGCTCTGTCCCTGGATCCAACTGTTGGGTTCATCAACGAAAACAACGCAGCGGAATATAGAACCCTAGATAGGATCCATGTGTATATTGAAATCGAAAAGGAATTTCGATACGTACCTTTTGCAGATCGAAGATAAATCAACAACTGATTGTGTCTGGATGAGCGCCCCAAGTGTTGCACCTCTACGGGTATCCACACACACGAACGGAATTCTCCAACGATCCACGTGCTAGCGAAAGATCTTGAAGTTCCTTTTCTTGAACGCCTTTTGATTTTCGATACTCTATCGAAAAACCCTAGACAGAGAACGATTCTCTATCTATTTATACAGTTTCATTATCTAGCGGAAATAAAAGAAGTGGGCCGGGCTATTTGGGCCCGCCAAACCATCCACCTTCAATCGTACGTTTAATCGTTATCTCATAACGCCCACGACCGCATAGATAATTTAAATAGGAGAATAAATTAAAATCTACTTCTTAAGTAGATCAAGGTGCACAGACAATATTAAGTCCTTTCGCTATTGTGTGCGACCCTGTAGGTTCACTAAACATTAGCAGTGTGCCAAAAACTCTTTTGGCCCACAAGTCATAAGCGGTCTCTAGCAAGACATTATGACTACCTAAGTATAGTGAAGATCGGTTTTCCGACACAACCTAATCCACAACTAATATTAGAGTATCAACCTTGATTGATTCTTAGGGCAGACCACTAACACTAACAGGTATGGTCTAACCCAAAACTCAAATTATCTGTTTCAAAGCAGGGGATAACTCGAATTGAAGCATGGTTAATGAAGTTTACAAAGAAACAGAATGGATTACCATCTCTGGAAATGGTGGCGACTACTCTGTGGCATATCTGGAAATCCCGGAACAACTCGATCTTTAGAGGCCAAAATCCAAATGCGGAGGAAACTGTAGAAGCTGCGCAAGTGATGGAAGAAAATTATGAAAAATGGGGGATTCATATGGCAAAAATAGGGAACGGAAGAGAAGGGGCAGCTTCACCAACCTGGATTGCACCGGAAAGAGGGAGGCTGAAAATCAATGTTGATGGCTCGCTTGTGGAGGGATCAACCGACGGTGCGATAGCGTGCATTTGCCGGGATCACACCGGGGTTCTCGTCGATGGACTCACAAAATCTGTCAAGGCATCCTCGGTGGCTCAAGTTGAAACACTAGCTGTACTGGAGCCAATGAGATTTGCAAAACACCGAAGTTTGAAGGAAGTTATAGTTCAGTCAGATAGACTTGAACTGATTCGTACATTGTCGGGTGCAGATCAAGTCAATTGGGAGATTCGAGTGCTCATTAAAGAATGCAGGGACCTTCTTGTGGACCTCCCTTTGTTGCAGTTGAAGTATTGTCCAAGGAGTTCAAATTCGGTTGCAGACTTGGCAGCGAAAAACCACCGAAACCAACTTCTTCCACTGAACTGGCTGTCTTCCCCACCCCCGGCCCTCTGGGCCTTGCTATGTAAAGATGCCCCGCTTTTGGGCTCAGCTACTCTATCACGTTTATGATATAAATAAAAATCTACTTTGGTTGACCAAAAAAAAAAAACAGTTATCCTGTCGTTAATCAAAAGTTTACCGAATTTTTACCAACCAGCGAAAGTGTGTAGGGAAATCATCATGCAGATTGGAAGAGGCAATACATAAGAAACTTCGTAACATGTCGTAAACGTAGGACAACTGTCACTTCACAAAAGCAAGTACTGTCGCAAAAGAACCAGAATAAGCATTCTTTCTGCGGGAGCCATAATATGTTGTCTGATGAAAGAAGATACATTGTGACGAAGGTTTACATCGTAACAACCAATCTTCAGTGAACAACATATGTACTCGTTGAAGTATAAGTATAAACTGGGTGACGGTGGGATTGAGTTCAGCTAAATTATTTTATGGCTTTTTACTACTTTGACCAGCTAAATTTTATGTATTTCCTGTTTTTAATATGCAAAATACATGATTCAAAACATCCAACGAGGTATCTGTTGTAAGAGTTTTTCTGATGTGCGCAGCATTAATTGATATTGAAATTTATAGTTTCACGGAATTGGTCTAATAAAGTAAGATATAAAAATTCGTAATTAGTCTAATATGGAGCTGACTAGTGTAGGTCAAGTAAACCCCAGCCTGTGATGAGAAGGCCTATGGCTAAAAACTCAATAAATAGTGCTTAAATTTTTTTATCTAACCTTGATGTACAAATAGCCTCACATAAGGAGCAGTTACATAACGCTAAGCGTGAGGGACAGTTTCATTGAGCTAGTGATACAAAGGGCAATAGAGAAGAAGTGCTTGAGTTTGGGGATAATCGTTATTCCGCATCAAGAATGATAGATTCCAAATCAGGTTGCACAAATCTCTTTTACTCGATTATTGTGTTTTAGATTTGAACTATGGAGATCTGGGGGTGTTGTTTTTGCGGCTTACATCAGTATGTTTATAGCAATATGATTTGTTATGCTTACTCCTAATTTGATGCTTATATAACTTATGAGGGTCTTCAATCTAACTCGAACTTCATTAACAAACGTTTCATTAATTAATGTTTTATGGTTGCACGCGCACATATGAACTCGTTGTTTACATTGCGGAATGACATAAATTGTTAATTGTCTATCATATATTTATAAGTACATCAAAACCACGGGAAAAGTGCCAAAAAAGTCCTAAACCTTTTGAATTTGTGCCAATTTAGTCCTAAACCTTTTTTTGATATCAATTTAGTCATAAACCTTTTGCATTGGTGCCAATTCAGTCCTAAACTTTTTTATGGTGCCAATTCAATCATAAACCTTTTGTTTTTGTGCCAATTAAGTCCTTTCGGTCAATTTTGGCTTGATTTTGCTAACGTGGACGCAAGCCGGCCGGCGGCCGGTCACCGGCGTTGTCGTAGACAACTTTAATAATATTTTAATACATATTTTTTTGAATTTTTTTGAATTTTTTTCTTTTTTTTCCCCCTCCCCTCCCTCCTTCCTCCAGCCGGTCGCCGGACCGGCGACCGGCCATAGGCCGGTGGTGTCGACCTTGCCGGCCACTGGCGAGGGCGGCCTCGCCCAGCCACTGGCGAGGGCGGCCTCGCCCAGCCACTGGCGAGGGCGGCCTCGCCCAGCCATGGCGAGGCCCGACCTCTCTGGATCTGGCGAGGTCAAGCCTCGCCGGCGGCTGGGCAAGGCATGACCTCGCTAGATCCGACGAGGTCAAGCCTCGCCCAGCCATGGCGAGGCTCCCCTTTGCCGTCACTGGCGAGGGCGAGCCTCGCCAGTGGCCGGCGAGGTCGAGCCTCGCTGGCGCCGGCTGGAGGAATGAGGGAGGGGAGGGGGGAAAAAAAAGAAAAAAATAAATAAAAATTCAAAAAATATTAAATTATTATTAAAGTTAACAACGTCAACGCCGGTGACCAGCCACTGGCCGGCCGGCATTCATGTCAGCAAAATCCGGCCAAAATTGGTCGGAAGGACTGAATTGGCACAAAGATAAAAGGTTTAGGACTAAATTGGCATCGAAAAAAAATTTAGGACTAAATTGGCACCAATGCAAAAGGTTTGGGACTGAATTGGCACCAAAAAAAGGTTTATGACTAAATTTGCACTAATGGAAAAGGTTTAGGACTTTTTTGGCACTTTTCCCTCAAAACCACTAGAGATAATAAAAAACATTTTATTGCAATATCGGGAATTGTTTGGTAATAAAATTGAACTCATACACATGTTGATTGGAAGACCATTGAGAGCAGATTCTACTGCAGGGCTAACTACTAGAGGGAAGTATGCTTGTCTTTGTGTTGAAGTTAACTTAACACCCCATTTAACGCCTTTGATTTTTCTTGAAGGAAAACTTAGACATGTGGAGTACGAAGGTATATATCTGATTTGTTTCAAATGTGGTCATTATGACCACAGATCAGTTGACTATGGGTCCAAAAGGGGTAAAATGGCAGAAGAAACTAGGAATGGCAACTCTATGCCTGATTCTCTGCTGTAAACATAACAAAACCACAAGAAGTTCAAAGGGAGCCGAAAAATAAGTTTGGCGCGTGGATGGTTGTGAACAAATCCTGAAGGGGCCAAAGACAACAAGAGAAAGAAGCGATAGCGGATAGTTGAAAAGAAGGTGGAGATATAGTTCCTCCGGGATTCCGGTTTTCAGTGCTACCTCAAGCAAACTTTTGTGAAGATCTAAATGGTTCTCCTCATCAAGAGATACATATTTCGAATGTGCAAAATGCCATTAAAACCAAAGATAAAAAGAAAAAGGTAAAGTTGTTGATTTCGAGTCTGAGGGCTTGTTCATGGAAAACGAAAGTTTGGGATTGTCTCGGCCTCACGAGCAATTAACCAGAGTTGTGCGGGGCCTTCCTCCTAAGGACAATAACAGGGTCGTCCAACAAAGTTTTTCCACTCGAGATAACTCATCCACATTGCGACTTAATTCTTTAAATTCTCACCTTGACAACACGGTGCTTCCCCTTGTGCAGTCTCTAGTAAAGAGCTCTTTTCAAATCAGAATGTGCCGCAGGTTTCGAAAGATGTCCTACAAGCACTACTAAACCCACCTGATGATATTGGTAGGTGAAGGGAAAACAATTTAACTGTCTTGGAGGTTCCAGATTCTCTTGAGGAGACAACTCATCTGATGCCTGATGAGGATATTGATATGGTGAATCCTATGATGCTAGATGGTTCCGTCTGGATGTGGTACTCTTTTATCTTTCAAACTTTTTATTTAATGCGGCTGTTAATGTGAGATTGTGAAGGTTCGGGGAGTGAAAAGGTTTTAGCAACGGCTAAGAACTTGATTCATCTGCATAGAATTCACGTGCTTATAATTGTTGAATCGAGAGTGAGGGGAGATCAAGCTTCTCAAATAATCGAGAAACTTAGATTTCCTAATCATACTCATGCTAAGGCATAAGGCTTTTTTGGGAGGAATCTGGTTGTTATGGCGTGATGCTACCTTTACTATGGAAGTGGTTCATGTTGATTTTTAATTTATTCATGTTCGAGTTAGAGATGGGGTAATAGAAGCTGGTGGTTAACTGCTGTCTATGCCAAACCAGATGATAGAGCTAAAGCACAATTGAGGGATCATCATGAAGATAGCTGCTACAACAACACAACCTTGGATGGTCACCGGTGATTTTAACGACATTGCATTTGCAAACGAAAAGAAAGTGTTAAAATATATCTCGAGTTTGAGCTCGAATAGGAAAGTTTCCTAAGTCAAGTAGGTTTCCTATTTTGAATATGTTTCCTTATTGAATTGTTTTCTAGTTGGAAAATATTTCTTAATTGGAGAAGGTTTCCTAAAAAGAGGTTTTCTAATTTAGATCCAATTCTTGCCTATAAATAAGAAGGGGATGTTATTTGTGAAGATCATCAAAGATGAGCTTTTGCTAGTGAATTATACCCTGAAGATATCCGAGTGTGTTTGAGCGATTAAATCTTGTGGTAAGATTTGTGTAATTTTTTCGTAAGATTGAGAGATTATTTCGCGAGAAATTGTGGGCTAAATACTGCGTGAGTTATTGGGTATAATTGGGGCTTAGGAAACACTTAGAGTATTTGAGTGACTCGAGTATGGTTGTAATCTCCATTGTATCGCTTGTTCTCTAGTGGAATTCGTTGCTCCTCTCCCTATGGACATAGGTCACTATGACCGAACCATGTAAATCTAGTATCCGATTTATTTTCTTGTTCTGTTTATTTTATTATTCGATCGCTTTGCTTCCGCAACAGAAAGGGGGTACACCAATCAATGCTACGAAATGCACTAGGTTTAGAGAGTGGATTGACATATTTCATCTAATTAATCTTGATTGGGTGGGAATGAAATTTATATAGCTTGGGCAAGAGTGGAATGGATAATATTGAGTAAAGAAGCGCCTTGATAGAGCATTATCTAATCTTTTTTGGCATTTGTTATTTGTTGATACAATAGTTCGAGTACTTCCAAGAGTTAAATCTGTCACGCCCCGAACCCCAACGGGCTCGCGACACCTCTCCGATGGTCGTAATGAACGCGACGTCCTAGGACGCGTCGCCGACCCAAACGAAACACCCAACGGTAAAGGCGAGCGGAAGCGAAATAGAGACAACCCAGATAATAAACAATGACGATGGGATAGCACAAAACAATAATTTCAATTACACAACATCAAAAGGGAACAGTGGTTGGATATCCTACTTCGCTATACAAAAGAGGGGCATCCAAAGATGAAACGAAGCATCAAATGCCCAAAGTCACTCCTGGTCCCTGGACTGCACGTGACGACTAACCGTCACTCCAAACCTGAAAATGTTTAACAACGGAGGATGAGATAAATCTCAATAAGTAGACAACCTAAACCCCACGTAAGCCAATGCGTACCCAGACGAGTCTAACATGCAATCCACCAGCCAACACCATCAATTTCACACAACATACTTACCTCGTCTCGAACTACGTGCCAACTCTGCATATTAGATAATCCACCATAAGGCAATAGTAATTCAAGAATATAACATCACCAC